AATAGCTGGTGGAGAGACGGAGTGACCTATTACATTCTCATAGACACTGTGTATTATCTTTATGTGTGTGTGTGTGTATACATATATATATATATATATATATTTTTTTTTTGAAAGGCCAGTATATTGCATTAACTGGATGGGCAGTAAAGGGTCACTTGTTTTGACTTCACGTTCCACTGAATTCTCATGAGGTGGGTTTGGGTGTCGTGGGTATCAGCTGGCAGTGGTCTGTGCACTACCTGTCCGAATCCAGGGCTCAGCGTCTCTGGAAGCGTAGCGTGTTCGTGCTGATCAATGGAATGAAAAATAGAGGGGAGGGGTGGAGGTGGGAGTGTGGCAACAAAGGAAAACTACGTGAAGGCCATCGCCACTTGGTCTTATTTATGGGGATCTCGCGTCCTTCATTTGCTGTGCATTTTACTTTTTAAAAAAAAACTTAACCTACAGAGCTATATTCATGAAGGTGTAGTCCAATCTCTAGACTTAAAAAAAAAATTTTTTTTCCAAACATCTCTTGCATGGGTCTAGTGTAAGGTGACCAGATTTTAACATTTGTAAACCATTGATAAAACTCCTATCCTGGCGAAATAGCCACATGGCAGCCGAAAACCGTCTATCCTAGCTTGTTGTGCATTCTTTCCAAAATTGGGACTTTTTTAAGATGCCGCAGGACGCGGGCAAAATTGTTAAAAATCGGGACTGTCCGGCCAAAAGCGGGACGTCTGGTCACCTTAGTGTAGTGGTCAAGGAAATACCCCGTGATTTAAAAAGAGGGAGGAGGATGGGTGGCAGGGGCCGGAGGAGAGAGAGAAAGGCAAAAGAAAGAGGAGGAAGAATGAGAGAGACCGGAGCAGATGTAGGGGTGAAATAAGACACCGGGTGGGGTGGGGGCCAGTCTAACCTGAGTCAGACAATCAACCACTCCACCCTCCCGGGACTCTTCCAGGTTCAAGGTATGCAGAAATTTTCCATAGCTAGTTCTTGCCCTTCTAACCCCATGTGTCCTCATTACAATTCCAGGTAGGACCTCCAGAGCAGTCCCCCCACCCCCCGCAGGTCAAGCCCTTACTCATTGGTCTGGAAGGTTAGTCAAGGCCGTTCCTCCGACCCCCATGCCTCCTGCCCCAACTCAGGTCTGCTGAGAGGGGTCCAGGAGGAGATGGCTGCTGAGAACATCCCTGATGGCTCACCAAGAGCAGGGCGGAGAGTGGGAATCCCTTTAGGACCGTCTTTTCAGGGAATGAGAGCCACACGCTGGGTTCCCATGGGACCTCTGGATTAAGGGCCCAGAAAATCCTTTCATCCGGGCCCAAATGCCTACGACTTTAGGATCCTGCGCTGCGTGGACGCCCCTGTCCGCCCCCAACTCAGGCGCCACCTTGGCGCTGCTGTTGTGTCGCCTGGTCTGTAGAGGGCGTGTCCGGGGCTACCCGAGAAATGAGCCATGTAGTGGGGAGAGGGAGAGTGGTGGGGGTGGAGGTGTTCCCGGAGCTACTGACTCTCGGGTCTTCAGGTACGGGTGTGGGGGAGAATCATGGGTTCTCATGCACAGTTGCTTCCTGATTGTCTTTTTAGGGGCTCCCCAAAGAGACAGCGGCTTGTGGGGCCGCCAAGTGGAGGGGGTGAGATGGCCCGGCGTGGCTAGTCTACCGAAGCGGCACAGCAAGGGGCTGGTGGCGCCCGTGGCCCGTTGCTGTGGGAGGGGGAGGAAGGTGGGCCCTTCTCCGGCGGCCTCCATGTGGATTTCATGCAAAAAGCCAGTCGAAGCTCTTCCTCGTGGCATGCCCCTGGTCCCCTGAACACAGGGGGCGGGGGCGGGGGTCCCCACACTGGGGCTGAGGGACCCGGAGGCAAGACGTGGCCTCGCCAGGAGACTTACGTGAAGGCAAAGGCCACCAGGGCCCCACTGACCACAATGAAGTCGAGAATGTTCCAGAGGTCGCGGAAGTAGGCGCCCTGGTGCAGGACGAGACCCAGGTCGATCATCTGTGGAGGGAGGAGAGGGTTGGCTCAGACTCCTGGGCCCCAGACTGCACCCATGCGTCTAGCCTTGGGGGAGGGGGAGTGGCACTGTTAGACCATTGGCGATGGCATCGTGACCAGAGGAGACCCCTGCCCCCAGGGGCCCTAGGCCCAGATCTTGAAACCAGCCTCCTATCCGTCATATGATCTGTGGACTCTGCCTTACAACCTCCTCCGCCCCCATCTCTGCCCTCTGGTCTGCGGCTGCGCCCTCACCCCAGTCAGTTCCCTTACTGGCCACTAGGGGTGGGGTGGGGCGTACATCATGCGTCAGGCCAAGCCTCTGTGCAGAGACCTGCTTAGGTCCCACCCCACTCACCATCAAAGCCCAGCTCCTACCAGAGGGCCAGATAGTCCTGGACGGCCTTCCCTGCCCCCTCCCTGTCCTCACATCCACACTGCTCTCCCTCTGCTCGACCGGCTCCATCTACCTGGACTGCTGGTCAGACACACCCGCCCTGATACCCAGGCTAGCTATCTATGCCCAGTGGTATTCTCCAACGTCCCCCAGCTCTTGGGTCCTTGGGTCACCGGGACCACTCACCTTGATGACCATCTCAAACGTAAAGACGCCTGTAAATACGTAGTCGAAATACCGCAGCACCTGCGGGGGGGTCGGGGGAGGGGGAGGGGAGGAGAACCGGGAGGTGGCTGATCATCGACCTGCTCTAGCAGAGCTCGAGAACCTAGTGCCCCTGGAGTGTGTGGCCTCCAGACAGGCCCCAGGAGCGCGATCTCCACCGGTTGGAGGAGTGCACAGGGATGCCACGGAAGGTTGGGCAGCACGCCCCTGCAGAAGGGCACCTCCCGCCCAGCCCCATAGACAGCGCGGATGTGTCATGACCAGAACCTCCCACCAGAGGGCAGCGAAGCTCTAGCAAAACGCCGCTGCCAGGAACGAACTGGAAGACAACCTTTAAAACAGTGGTTCTCAACCTTCCTAATGCCGCGACCCTCTGACACAGTTCCTCATGTGGCGGTGACCCCCAGCCATAACATTATTTTCGTTCTACTTCATCACTGTCATTTTGCTACTGTGATGAATCAGGCGACCCCTGTGAAAGGGTCACGACCCACAGGTTGAGAACCGCTGCTTTGAAAAAACTTGCCCAAATCCCTGTAATGGACTAGAAAGGACCCCAGAGAAGTTTGAGGTGCTGTAGCCCTGCCGGTGATGGCTGTGGACCCCAGAGCCCTCGGCTGGCTGGACCTCCTGGGTAAAATTGCTTCTACTTGGTCTTTTCTGACATGACCAGTCTTCGAGGTCAATGTGGTCCCCTGACCCTGCTCACACTCCCCATTTCCCACTGCTGATCCCCCGTCGTCTGCCTACTGCCAGGACTTGGTCACTTCTGCCCCAATGGACAACATCCTGCCACCCAATCCCTCTCCTAGCGATGCCTCTGGTGTGACCGGGTGGCAGGGACCAGAGTGTGTTAGCACAGGGCTGACCCCATCCAACGCTTGCTTGTTTGGGAGGTACTGGCTGATAGTTAATAAGCATGGCTATCTGGGGTCGCCCGGGAGCACCCAAACAGGCCCGGTCTCTCTACTCAGAACCCTCTGTCCCTCCTACCTCACTCAGAGCAAAGGCCAAAGACATCACTGTTCCTTTGCCTGGAGGGCTCCTCCCAAATCTGCCATCTTACCACATCTGTCCCTGGCACTGATTCACAAGCGCAGGGTCGGCCACGTCCCCGCCACGGGCAGGGCATTTGTCTGACCAGCTCACAGCCCAGAATGAACCACAGCTGCAGCCGTGTTGGGTCCTGCGGCGGCTGGACTCTGCGACCCGCACGCTCACCCTCATTCTAGGCGACAGGACGGGAAACCCTGGGCTGGCTTCCTGGGCCCGGGGGAAGGGCGAGGCTGAGGGAGGGGAATGGGGCCGCAGGGCAGGGGCGCTGGGCTTTGGGGACTCTGGGAGGGAGGGACTGCCCCCCGATCGCTATGGCTCTCCATTTTGCTGGGCCAGAGCACACAGTCCTTGCTTATTAAATTCAGGGAGAGGTGGAAGGAAGAGGGTGAAGGAGGAAGGGCAGGTCAGGCGGTCAAGTGAAGAATAAACTTCCACATCCGGAGAGCTTGTTACCCCGGCAGCAGGAAGAACAAGAGTCGTGGGCGGTAGGGGGTTGGGAGCTTCATCCGTTGCTGGTGGGAAGGTAAAATGGGGCAGTGGCTGGGGCAAACCATTGGGTGAAGCTCCCTCCGACAGCACAGGAGGGCCATCTCCTTCTGCCCTGGAGAGTAACTCCAAGCCGGGGCATAGAGTCCGAAGACTTCAGAGCAAAGACCCAAACTGACCCGGGGACCCCGATGTCTGCTGAAGTCGGATATCAACGGCCAAAGGGTGGGAATGATGGGTGTGTCCATCCTGAGATGAATGACTAGACCCAGGTGGGCCACGTAGCTGATGAGGTGTCAGTTAACCAAACCAAGGGACGCGGTGGATGAACCCTGAAGCGATCCACTGGAGCGAAAGCCAGACACCAAAGGCCGAACACTGTTCCCACTTCCATGCAAAATCATCAGAATAGAGAAATGCATTGAGATCAAGCCGATTAGCAGTTGCCATGGGCTGAGGGGAGAGAACACGGGGGAGTGACTGCTAGTGGGTACAGAGTTTCCATGTCGTGTATGCAAATGGCCTGTAATCAGAGCAGTGGTGATGGGGAGGAAGGGTGGTGAATGTAAATGAACACCATTTTCAAATGGTTCAAGTGGCAGTTTGATGACATACCTATTTCCACACAATGAGAGCTTAATAAATTGGCCAAAAGGAAATCAACAGACCTATCAATTAGGCTGGACCATAGGAAGCACTGGATATTTAGATCCACTTGACTGATGAAAACAGCAGTTTCCCAAGGGAAAGCCTTAGTCCTGAAAGCAACGGGTCTCAATCATAGCAGAGAGTCTTGATCAACCCCCAGTGAGAGCCCCTTGTGCACCCACCCTGTCGGCAACATGCCAGTGTGCAAGGGATGACACCATCAATGGTTGGTGAGAATGCGGAGCCACGGGAGTGCTGCATACGGCTGGTGGGGGAGTTTGTTGTAGGAGGGAGAATACATTGGTTGGAACTAGGTGGGCTGATCAGTGCCAATTCTACCAGCCAGAATTCCCTCTCTGGGTTTACATCCTGGGGAAATTCTGGTCCTCATGACCAAGAGACATGTCAGAGAGGAGGTGTGGTGTCAGTGTGTGAGAAAGCTGTCCAATGGACCCACTCAAGCACCCAGCATCAGGAGGGCAGGCAAAGGCACCATTGCCAGGCAATACTAATATGGATGATTATGCAACAGTGAACAGTAATGGCTGCCACTACCTGCCACCCGTGTGCTAACCTCAGAGCCCAACGGAGAGGGAAAGAGGGGTGGTGTGGGGGTTTTCCATGTGGTCACGGTGGGAGCGAGCTCCCTGGGTGGTGCAGACTGTTGACACACGTGGCTGCCCATCAAGGAGTTGGAACTTCCAGCCACCTGAAGGCCCCTCGGAGGAAAGGCCTGATGATCTAGAAGAACAACCCCGCATCGAACCTCCACGCACCTGATGGTGCACAGGCCTCTGACACCCGGGGGTTGCCGTGAGTCGGAGTGACCTGGACAGCAGACGTTTGCTTTTATTTAATTAGAACAAGGCAAAAGGAAATTCCAGACGCACATGCAGGTGGACAAATGCGAAAGAAAAAGCTGAGGCATGCTGATTGATCTTAGAGGAGTCGGGGCCATGGGTGGCTCTGGGGCAGGGCTTCTCCACTGGACATGATTGACAGAGGGGCTGGAACTTTCCTGTGTGTGTGTGTGTGTTTGGGGGGGGGCTGTCCTGGACACTGTGGGTGCAGCAGCCCGCAGCTGATGTCAGCAGCACCCTCTGCTTTCCCCGGCTGTGGCACTGGAACATGCCCTTGTTGAGAACCGGGCCTCAGAAGGAAGAGGGGGTGAGGCTGGAGAGAGATATATGGTGGTGTGTGTGGTGTGTGTGTGTTGTTTCTGTTCTACTTCTCACTCTGGACGGTGGGGACATAGACGTGTGTGCTGGGCCGTCTTTGTTCACGAATCACACAGGCTGAACGCACTTCTCAGAGGCCTGTTCTGTTGGCGCTGGTACAACCCACCGGGCAGAGGAAGCTGAGTATCAGCTGACCGCGGGGAGGGTCCGGGAGGCTGACCCTCTGCATGCCCTCCATGGGGCTGGTCTGGACCCAGTCCAGGACCCCCATAACTCGGCCACTCATTCAGCCCCCTTCTCCATCCTCCTGGTGCTTTCTTGCTGGCCTGTTGTGAGCAGGGCTCGGATGAGCCTCCCCCACCTCCCGGGGGCTGCCCTCTCCCGGGGCTGCCCTCTGCCCCATCCTGCCAGGCAGCAGGGATTAAAGAAGCTGGTCAGGAGGTCTCAGCCCTGCCCAGCCAGCTTCTTCCGAGTTCTAATGATTGTCTTCCTCCTCCACACCACCTCCCTCCTCTCCCCCTCCCTCATCAGGTCCCTAGGGGGCCTGCAGACCTGTGAAGGAAGGGACCATGCAAGGTCAGCTGCAGCAGGCCTGCAGGCCCGGTCTGAGTGATGTGGCTTGCCAGCCTGACCAGATCCCTAACCTACTTAGCAGGTGGCAGAGCCTCTCCTCAAGGTGGCCCAGTCAGCTTGAGCAGAGCTGGCTGCAGAGGGGACCCCCACCTCCCACGCAGAAGCCCCACATCCCTCAGCCGCTTCCTCCTGAAAGGCAGCCCTGCACTTGCCCACTCTGACCACCAGGTGTCCCCTGCCCTCCAGCGCATCCCTCCCCAGAAGGGGTCCCGCCCGGAGGGTGTGGCCTTGCAGAAGGACCCAGGCAGTTGAAGGGTGCGCAGCCCTGCCCAGCGTCGTGCGCGACCGTGCCCCTCGGCATCTCCTCCACCGCAGCGACAGGGTGTCGGGACTCACATTGTTCCGGGGCGCGTTGGGTTGCACGGGGTCCTCGGCCGCCAGGGCGATGCTGCTCATGGCGATGACCATGAGGATGCACATCTCAAAATAGCGCAGGTTCAGGATGTAATGGCACAGGCGGCGAAGGCTGGTGGGAGCAAGCAGGCGGAGGTCCACTCAGACCACAGGCTCACCAATGCGCTCCTGGTACCAGCGCCACATACCTACCCCCCTCCCTACCACCCGAGGCCCCTGACTAACACTCAACGAAGCATCAAGCTGCTGAGGACCCTCTCCCCGAGGCCCTGGGGCACCAAGAATTCAGCTCAGGAAGGACGACTTCAATAGGCCTACTTGTCATCCTCCCTGGGGACTGACTGACGTCATGGCACCGGACCACAGCCACCACAGTGGCTTTGCAGGAGAGAGGCCTCCGCAGGGAGGACGACACAGCGGCTGCAACCGCGGGCTCACACATCACAACTGTGAGGTGGCGCAGGACTGGGCAGCGCTTCGTCGGGCCGTGGATAGGGTTGTCGTGGGTTGGACCGACTGGACAGCGCTAAGAGCATCGTTCTCCGGAGGAGCCCCCGTGGGGTAGTGGGTCACGAGCTGGGTTGCTCACCGCGGGGTCAGCCGTTTGAAACCACCCACCACTCTGTGGGAGAAAGGCGAGACTTTCTTTCTACTCCTGTGGAGAGTTCCTGTCTGGGAAACTCACCGGGGCAGCTCTCCTAGTTCCCAAATGACGGTTCCTATGCGAAGCTCTGAGAAGCAGATTTTGTATCATGGTGAGCGACCGGGCTGCTCACGGTAAGGCTATGAAGTTCGACCTCACCAGTTCTACCATGTTCCTAATCTGTTCTATAGGATTGCGAGGAGTAGGAATCAACACACGTTAGAAGTGTGTGTGTGTGTGTGT